TATCCCTAGAGGTACAGGGATCTTGTGCAGATGTTAATGCGTACAGTGTAGAAGCAGCAGTTTTTGTAACAGACTGGTTGGATCACATGCAGAGTGGTTTGGTGTAGTAGAAAGAGAAAGCAAATGATGCAAATATTTGTGTGATTTCCAGATCATGCAAGTTCTTTTTATTTATTTAATTACCCTGTAATTAAAAATATGTGCTTTTTTTCCACATTACTCATTGTATGTCACTGTATAACCCAGTGGAGTCAGATGGTCCTGGCACCACTGTTCTTTTTACATACTGTATCATGCTTGTAGATGGGAAAATCTGAATAGGTGTCATAAGCAAGCAGCAATAATTTTGTACTGAGTCGTAATCGTTACTGACGAAACATGTCTCTGTGGCGCTTCCAAGCACATTCAAGGTTGCCTTTCTGTCTCGTCTGTAGGCTCTTGCTTGTCATAAAAAGTGTCAGTGTGCATTCCACTGCAAAAAACGAGCTGTCATTCAGGATTATCCATGTTTGCCTTTGAATGCAAACATGGTGTAGGCCACAGTGATGTGTGGATGTGAAGGCTGGCCTGCTAACGTTAACATCTGAAATAGTTATTTTTCATCAATATAATGAGACTAACTTGCCGTGATTTGGATGGAGGCCTGGTCCAGATGGCTGTAATTTCTCACACGGAGCTCCAAAGAGCACTTTAGCTCCTGCACATGAGCGGGCACTTATTTTCTGCTTTTGGTGCAAGCAGTCAGTCATAGATCTTCTCTTAAGGTATACAGGGCAAATTGAGAATATGAGAGAGCACACAGCTTTGACTGAAATTGCCTTTGTTTTTGAAGCCATTTCTCCTCTGTGGCCATCTAAAATCCTAATGATGTAAATCTTGGCACATTTACCTAAACTTCTCCTCTAATTACAGCCACCGGCGACTGCTGCTGACAGGAACCCCCCTGCAGAACAGCCTGATGGAGCTGTGGTCTCTGATGCACTTCCTCATGCCCCACGTCTTCCAGTCCCACCGTGAGTTCAAAGAGTGGTTCTCCAACCCGCTGACGGGAATGATCGAGGGCAGTCAGGAATACAACGAGGGCCTGGTCAAGAGGCTCCACAAGGTGCTGAGGCCATTCCTTCTCAGGAGGATCAAGGCCGACGTGGAGAAGCAGATGCCCAAGAAATATGAGCATGTAGTGCACTGTCGCCTTTCCAAGAGACAGCGATTTCTCTACGATGACTTCATGGCACAGGCATCGTAAGTTACACACACTTGTGTTGAAAAGTGTTCAGAGATGATCCAGCACCCAGCAAATCTTTTTACTTGAAAAAATTATTAGACATCCAGTGATTTATTTTTTTTTTCAGCCAAACAACTAATTAGATATTTGTCTTTAACAGTTTTTATTTTGTCATATTCATATGACAACAAAATGGAAATTTTAAAAATTTTTGTGCAAGATATTGGGGCTTAGAATTAGGGTTATTTTTATTGACAAATAATTTGTTTATTATTTCACAAATTGTCTTTAAAATCTCAGAAAGTATACACAAAACACTAGAAAATTCAAAGATATTTTGTATGCTTCTTGCGTTTTTGATTCAAAGGTGACTTAAATGATTAATTGATTATCAGAATGGTCATTGCCCACTATTCTTTTCACCAATAATAATATATCCATTTCAGTCCCATACTATTCTTACTTGCATTGTTCATGTTACCAGCTGGATCTCTTTACTAACCACCTTTTGCCTGTGGTTCACAGGACCAGAGAAACACTGGCCAGCGGTCACTTCATGTCTGTGATCAACATTCTCATGCAACTCCGCAAAGTGTGCAACCATCCCAACCTGTTTGACCCTCGGCCTATCCAGTCACCCTTCATCATGCAGCCCATTATTTTCCACACAGCCTCCCTGGTGCTGGACGCCCTGGAGGTCTCTCCTTTGAAGGTCAGCATTAAAGGAAAAGTAGGGCATTTGATCAGATGGTAGCCTGAAATAACAGGCTACAACTGTGCTACTTTCTTGTCAGTCAGTAGTTCATTTTGATGTTTTTGTGTCCTCAGCGTTGCGACCTGTCTATGTTTGACCTTGTTGGTTTGGAAAGCTGTGTTTCCCGGTACCAGGCTGACATCTTCCTGCCGCGCCACAAGGTCAGCCGCCAACTAATCCAGGAGATCGTGGAGTCCCCCGAACCCCCTCCACGACCCAAACCAGTCCGCATGAAAGTCAACAGGTATACAGTTCAGCATCAGAGGCTTGAAAAATGTGTAGCATAGAGAAAATATATGTGTCTGGTTAGTACAGAGACTCATACTGTCATTTGGGAATGTTCTGTTCTGTGGAGTAGGTATTTTGATAAAGGTCACTTCACAGTGTTTTTAAAATGCTATCAGCTCAGTTTAAATGCTAGTCTAAGAAAAGCTGACTCTCACTTGGCAGCTGATAACAGTCTATTCGGATGATTATTTTTCTGCTAAAATGATTCCAAAATGAAATATTTTTGGTCAAGATCTAGAGAAAGAACTGTCTAAAAGTGCTGAAGGTACATAGAAGTGAGTGAACTGGCCTCTATCATAAATGTTCAGATGTTGTCTAGCTGCAGTTCTTCCCTCAATCAATCAATCACTTTTGGAAAATCTGTCAGTAGTGTTAAAAGAATGGACATGCTGCTAGTCGTAGTAGTGAAAATGAAACTTCTTTGTTTTCCTTCATTATTGGCAGCAACACTTTCTGCCGACTACATCTTTACTTGGCAAATATCCATTTAGGATCTTGAGCATAAAGAGCCGATTTAGTGTATTGGAAAAGCTCAATTAAGAGGCAGAAGTAGAGACATCAGTGCAAAGTCAGTGTGAAATTTTGAAAAGTATAACATTTGTATTTAAAACAATAAATGAATTGATTGTTGATCTTTCATTAATTTGTGTGTTCCAGGATGTTCCAGCCGCCTCCCAAAGCCGATAATCGACCTGTTCTGCTGATGAACAAACCCATGTGCTCCGTGCCTCCTGCAACTCAGACCCCCAAACCTCCCCTGGTTACTGACGTCACATCAGCTCCTGCAACTGCTCCTGTAGTTCAACAAGGCAAGTGAAAGGAAACAAACAGAAAAAAATAAGCAGATGTTGATTCGTTCAAGTTAACATCAAAGTTGTGTATCACAGATAAACCTGTTTCCACAATTAGACCAAAGTACTGGTTATCTTTCTTTGCATGTCTACACTTTTACTTACTTTTACTGATTCTTATTTTTTCTGTTAGTGGTGTGTTCAGTGGCATCCGCACCCCCTCCTCGCCTGCCTGTGCATCCTCCTGCTCAAACTGCAGTGAGATCCAGTGCTCCAAAACCAGCACTGAC